TTTCCTTCCTTCCTTCCCATTTCCTTCCTTCCTTCCCATTTCCTTCCTTCCTTCCCTGCCCAAATGAGGAGGGGGAGGGATTCTTCAAGAGCCCCAAGCCAGCTGGAGCAACCAGGCTGCGGCCCCTTCTCCTCCGAGACAACCCCGCCCCCGAAGGCAGAAGCCCCCAACCCCAGCTGCCAGCTTCTTCTCTCTTGTTTTGCGTGCACGGGGTTCAAACGTACGGGCCGTTTGCACGCAAAACAGTCTCCTCCAGTGGTCATCTCCGCATCTCCGCAAATCAGCTGTGAGCCGCCCCCCCTCTCCCCGGTCCCGGGGTGGGTGGGTGAGTGGGTGGGAGGTCCCATAAGAGAAGCGCTTGGGAGTGGGGGGAGCCTTCCCTTTGCGAGTCCCAGACGGGGAAGAAAAAAGGGGAGTGGGATTTTCCTTCCTTCCTTCCCTTCCTCCCTCTCTCCAAAGCCGTGCGGCTCCGAGCCTTCTGCAAACCGCCTAAACGGGGAAGCGATGGGGATGTGTGTGAGACGGACCAAAGCAACTTTCCTTTTTCCACCCCCCCCCCCCCCCCCCCCCATTCCCCCCCCCCCGCCGCTCAAAGAGGGGAGGGGGCGACAGGCAAGAAGAGAGAAGGGGGTCTTTTTCGGCTCCTTAAAAGCTGACACCCCCCCCCCCCCAAGCAATGTGGAAGCGGGCTGTGGGTCGTTCTTGGGTTGGGGGATCCGAATTAAGGGGAGGGGGCAAGCCGAGCAGCAGCTTGGCCCGGAGGAGGAGGGGGCTTGGTGTGTGTGTGTGTATACAAAGGCGGGGTTGCACGGGGGAGTGGGGGAGAGAGACCCGGGCCCACTCGGCCTACCTGCGCGGGGGTCCCTCCGGCCATGGCTCTCATTTATTTTTATTTTTTATCCCCACCCACCCACTCTTTCCGCAGGCGAGGATGAAGGAGCAAGCGTGACTCCGATCCTACTGCCGGGATTTCGCCGCTGCTGGCTTTGCTCTTTTGTTAGCCTTTGTTTTTGTTAGGACTCCGTTGGAAGAGGAGGAGGTGACAAAACAGCTGCACGCCGGGAAGGGTAGTTTTCTTGTGTTTTTTCCACGCCCCGCCCAAAGCAGGAGGGCGGGGCCAACCCGGACCCACGACCCTCCCCCCGTTGCAAAGCCAGATCCTTCCCCTCTCCTCCCGCCCCCGCGCCTAGCGTAGCCTTCCAGCCATCCGCGCTGTTGCAAGACCCCAGCCGTTGCAAGGAAGGGGCGGGGGAGAGTCGAGGAACACCCCCCCCCCCCAAAAAAAAGGCGGATGGGGCGCGGCCCGGGGGCGCAAAACCCGAAGAAGCGGGTTTAAAGGAAAGGCGGACCCTTTCTCTCCACACAACCCTTTTCCCCAAAAAGGGGGGGAGGGGTCTTACAGCTGGATGACGACCCCCCTCCCTCTTCCCAAGAGCCCACCCACCTTGGAGAGGGGAGGGGGCGTTTATAGATGCTACAGGTCTAGCCACTCGCCTTTCCCCGTGGGAAAATGGGAAGTTCCCACAAACTTTTTTTGGCTGACTTAAAAAAAAAAACACCTGCCCCCCCAAGCCCCCCTCAACTTCCAGATCTTTGGGGTCGGGGGTCTCTGGTCCAAAGGGGAGGAATTGTTTCTGAACCTTGGGGCAGATGAGAAAGTGTGGCCCCCACCCCTCTTGTGAGACCCCTCCCACTCCCCAGGCAGCCTGAGCCTGCTTGCTTCTTCTAAAGCTCTAAATTGGGGAAGGGGGAGGGAGGGGAGAAAGAGAAGGCTATGAATTCCTGCTGAATTCAAGAGACAATCGAGTTGGAAGGCACCCTGGAGGTCATCGAGTCCAACCCCCCTCCTCCAGTGGGAGACCATGTACCATTCAGAATAAGAGAATAACAGGGTTGCAAAGGAGCTTGAGAGGTCTTCTAGTCCAACCCCCAGCTCAAGCAACAGACACTAGACCATTCAGAATAACAGAACCGCAGTTTAGAGAGACTTTGGAGGTCTTCTAGTCCACCCCTGTTCAAGCAGGAGACCCTTACAGAATCATAGAATAACAGAGTGGGAAGGGACCTCGGAGGTCATCTAGTCCAACCCTCCACTCAAGTGTGAGACCCTCCACCATGCAGGAGAACAGGGTTGCAAGGGGTCTTGGAGGTCCTCTAGTCCAACCCCATGCTCAATTAGATCCTTGCAGAGCCATCAAATAACCGGAGTTTGAATGGGACCTTGGAGGTTGTCTAGTCCCGCCCTTGCTCAAACCGGAGAGCCTACACCACTTCAGAGTTCAGAGAGAATTGGAAGAGACCTTGAAGGTCATCTAGGCCAACTCCCTGCTCGAGCTGGAGGCCCTCTTACCATTCCAGACCAAGTGTCTGTCCGGTCTCTTCTTCAAAGCCTTCAGTGATGGAGCACTCCCAACTTCCAGTGGCAAGCAGTTCCATCATCCTCGCCATTCAGAAGTTTCCTCCTTCGTTCCAGCTTGCTTCTCTCCTCGGCGAGTTTCCATCCGGTGCTTCTCGTCTTTGCCTTCCGGTGCTTTGTGAAAACAAATGGAAACCCACCCACTCTTCTTATACCGGATTCTTTCTATCGTCCTTCAATACTGGATTCTTTCTATCGCCCTTCTTTTCATTCAATGGGACGTATCCGAATCCACCGTTGTGGTTTTTTGGGGGGTACATTTTCATCTTCAGGCTCGTCGGCCCCATCGCTGCTCTTCTCTGCAAGTTCCCCCCCAAATGTGCGATGATCTTGACATGCTTTGGTCGGTCAATCCAGCTTTCCTTGTTGTTGGGCAATTCAAACCAGGGTTAACAACCAATTTGGTGAGTGCGTGTGTGCATGCGCTCTATGCGTCAACTAAAAATATAATCCTTTGGTCTTTTGGGGGGGGGGGGGGAGCAGTGCATTCCTTAAAGGCTTCAGATAATTGCTAGGTGGCTGAAACTGTTGGCGCGCAAGACTATTACCGGAGAGCATGATGGATGACTCTTGGCTATGGATGTGTCCCATTGGAGAATATACATCCAGGGGGTGGGGGGAAATTTGTGAATTTTGTTGGATGTATGCTGTGTATATACGTACAATGACAAGAAAAAAAGAATAAAAAACAGGTTGAAGGGTGAAATGATGTGCCTTAGAGTTGGCTGCACCCAGGTTAACACTGATGTGGTCACTCCTAATAAATGAAAAAAAAAAATTAAACTCTAAGACTTGTGATTGGAATGGGGGGGTGGATTGTCGGAGCCCTACGTTTTAAGCTCTTTTTAAACCGAGTTACTTACCTTCTACTGCAGCCTCCCCCCCCCCCCCCCCCCCTGATTCAAACAGCTGAGGTGCGGAAAACCGCACTGCCACGCAAATCAGCCGTGCTAAGAAAAAACTTAGGAAATAAAAGCACAGGAAAGAGCAGGGGTGGGGCCAAGTGCTTATCAGAAGAACTGGTTCACATGAACCGGTTGAATCCCACCCACCCGTCTTTTGCACTTACACCCTACGAACATACATCCCCACAACTGTAAGAAAGCCTTTATTGCAAATAAACATAGCTCAAGAAAATAATAGACATCATCATAATTATCATCATAATACATATGGAATAGGCCGTTGGGGTTAATGGGGGGAATGAAGTGGCTGGCGTGGTGTCTTTCAGAGGCCACTCATGGAAGGGGGTGCAAGCACAGGTGGATGGGGTGTAATGGAGTCTCCTGGGTTCAAGGGTGTGGCATGGAGTTGGTGGGAGGGACAACAGTCTCTTCCATCCAGTGTCGGGCCTGACTGCCATCTCCAATCGGCGTTTGCTGGGCCCCCAGACCCTCTCAGTAAAAAAGAAAAAGTCAGTCACAGGAGGAAGCAAGTGGGTGGGTGGGTGGGTGAGGGAAGACCACCCCCGCTGCTCCCCAATTCTTGCACCGGATCCTGAACGCCAAGCAATCTCGATATGCCAAGGAACTCCGGCGTGAACAAACGATGTAGGCAACGATGGGCGTTGTGCATTTCTCAAAAGGCGATGTGGTGGTGGTGGTGGTGGGAACTGCCATGCATAGGTGGGGGACCCCCCCAAAAGTTGGGAAGAAATGTGGGGAGGGGCAACAGAGAGGGCAACCCCCTGCATGCTCAGGGGCACAAGCAATTGACCGGCTGCTCTGGACAAGGGGAGCAAAGATGTCCTTTGTTCCATTGACCCAACAGCTCTGGTCCCGGATGGGCACGGAGTGGGGAGACTTCTGCCCGCTTGACCTTTGACCCCCCCACCCCCAATCCTGCCAGCCTCGTCCCACTCACAAGGATTGAGGGGGAGGTCCCACCATCCAGAGCGTTTGCCGCCTCTGCAAGGCATCGCTTCCTCTCCTCACCCTGAAGGAATGGGGTGCCTGCGGATGACCTCATGGCTCCCTCATTCCGAACGTGGTTTTGTTACACATCCTGAAGCCCGCCAACCTAAGCTGGCAAAAAATCCCTTTGGGCCCACTTTTATTTTTTGGGGGGGTGAGCAGACAGCCACTGTTGTTTTAGCTGGCCATGATAGAGGGCAGGTGGCTTCCGCAGATGCGAAGCAGCTCCAAAAAGGTGCAAATCGGCAACACGGGGAAGAAAGGGGCTCTGGGAACTCAGGATGCCCCCCCCTTCAAACATTGCTTCCATCTCACCCACCCTCTCCCCCATATATTGGGGCAGTGGTGGCTAACCTTTTTGGGCTCCTATGCCAAAAACTGTGCAAGCGCTTATGCACTCACATATCACCGAGAAGGCAATACACGTGCATGCCCCCCCCCCACAATCCCCCCCTGCCACCCCCTTACCTACACTGCATCTCACAGCTGATTTTTCAGCTGGTTTGAGGCCTTTTTCAGCCTCTCAAAGGCTTGAAGAAAGCCTCTGCAGGCCGAATTGGCCCATTTTGTCACACAAGCCTATTATTCATCCTGCAAAGCCTGCAGAGGCTTTTTTCAAACCTCTGGGAGGCTGAAAAAGGCTTCAAACCAGCTGAAAAATCAGCTGTGAGGCACGTGTATGCACAGTGAGCTAAGTTTGCCTGCAGCTCACATGCTGGCACAAATGGCTGTGTACCACCTGTGGCATGTATGCCACAGGGTCACCATCATGGTATTGGGGGATAAGTAACCAAATTTCCAGGAGTTACCCAACAGGATTGCTGGATTTTACTGCCGTTTCCTGCAGCATCTTCGCAGGGAGGCCAATTTTGATCCAAACAAAAAATTGTGGAGTCTTCCCAAGACCCCACCAGCAGCCCAAAAATTTACAACCTCTCAGGTTGTTTCACCTTTTCAACCTGCCTTGGCACACCAGGAGGAACGTTACCAAAAAGCCTTCAGGAGGGAAGAACCACGCCTGCCTTCGCCAAGCAATGTCATATGATCCTTGCCATTGCCACCCATACACAACCTCTTGTCCTTCAACGCTGATAGAACGTAAACTTGAGGACAGAATTTGGAGGCTGTCCCCGCAGCTGGCAGGGACAGGGCTGCCCCCCTCTTTTCGAGCTTTATTGGGCCTGGCCAATGGCCAAAAAACCAGCTGCATGTCGCAACGCTGTTTTCCCGAGTGCAGCAACTCAACGAACAGCTCTTCCAAAAAGCAAGGACCATCCTTGGGCACAAGTTCCAGACGGAGGAGCTTCTAGGGCTCTCGAGCCCTAGGGTCAGCCGTAGGGCGACTACCACTGGCCTTGCTTCGGGGGCTGCCTCTGTACCAGCCAAATTATCCATACGAGAGCAGACAGTACTGCCTTAAACTGGGGAAATGAGGAGCAAGTCGCCCCAGCTCTGGCCAACTTGACTTTGAACAAAAGTTGGACCACAATTCTTTCTTTCACTCCTGTTTTCTTTTTTGGAGGGGTGGGGTGAGCTCATCTGTTCCTCTGTGATGGGCCAAGCTCTCAACATGCCTCCAAACTGGCATGGCTGAATTTCACCAGCTTAAAAAAAGGGGGGGATGGTTTCCGCCCAACACCCAGGTGGTTTTATCTCAGGGTTAGGACTTAGTTAGAATGTACCCCTCAAAGTACACTGGGAAACAGCCCCCAAGGACGTACACTCATGGTTGGAGGGCTGGATTCTTCTTCAACAGCTGCTGGTGGGAGGCACCCTCCATTGACCGGGCTGCAGACTACGGGCAACCTGCTTGTGCCAATCAAATTTCCAGACAACCCACCACCCCGCATTCGACCCATGCACGGTTTGCGCACCTCTTCATGGATCCGCACCCCAGCGACGGGTCCTTGCACACCGTTTGTGCGCTCAACACACCCATCGGTGTCGAGACCTCTGCCCCGTTGCCCAGATACAATTCGTGCCACCTCTGGGCCCCCGAAATCAGCCTAGCTCAATGGGCGTCGGATGCCCAGAGGAGCTGGGATAGGGGAGGGGGGGCCGAGTCATCCTACCGCCCCTGCTTCTCATCCTTTGCAGACTTCAGCGGGAGGAGGGGAGGCCATCACCATTCCTCCTTCCTCCCCGTCCTAAGCCCGGACCCTCAACGTGCTTGCCGTGGAACGTTTGACCGTCTTTGCTCTGGGAAGGCTTTTCAGCTTAAGGCACAGACCCCACCCCTACCCCCACCTCACAAATTCAGTTTTCTCCCTTCCAGCAGCTCTGTCAGGGCTTGGTCCCATGCAGGAGGGGAGGGGGGCCAAATCCAGGGGCCGACAGGCCATCGGGTTGTTCTAAAGTGCTTCTTGTTCATTCTGGGGCCTCCCCTCTCCTTCTGCAAGGACCCCACCCCACCCGTCTCCCAGCCCCACCGCAATCCAACCTCTTTGGTGTCCGTCCCCTGAAAGCGTCACAGCTGTTGGGAAAAGCGGGGGGCTCCTTTGTGTGGAGTGGGAGAGGAATAAATGTGGCTTTTCTGACCTGGGGGCTGATTATACTTCTCAGAGCTGAATGCCAGGCAGGGTCCCCTCCCCAATGTCTTCCAATACAAATCCCTCCCTGGTCCCCGAAAAGTTCTGCATCACTGCAATGGACCTATACGAGGAGCCGACCGACCTGCTCAGTTTGGCGCGAAGCCGGACCTCCCCTGGCCGGCAAAGAGTTCGGCCACCTGGTTCGCGTCGCCGTGGTGGCACGATGCCAACGGTACATTTCTGGAATGAGTTATTTCCATTTTTTTTCCTTTCGTAGGAAAACACGAGGTGGGGAATGTAAAGCCCTGAGGGCCAGCGCATTGTGCGGGGATGCTGTGAGAGCCGTGTATGAGGCACTGCCCCCCCCCAACTGGGGTTTATTGAAGGGTGCCGCCCTCAGTCAAGTTTCCAAAAAAAAGGGGGGGTGCTCTTCCATCTTCAACGTTTGAACTGCTGCCAAGTTCTGAGTCTTTCCTTCCGTCGTTTGGGAGTACATGAGGGGCGTCCAGGGAGATTTGGGGGAAGGGGGGGCTTGGTGGTAAGACAAGGGGTGGGCACGTCTTTGGTCCTCCTGCCATGTTGACACTTTTTTGAAGGGTGGGGAAGAAAGAGTGCCCTTGTTGGAAGGATGGATTGCTTCTTGAGACAGGTGGGTTAAATCCAAAGAGAGTCTGTGTGCTTCCGTAGAGCAGGAGGGGTGGCAGATGGGGGCTTCCAGGTCCAGGATACATGCATAAACCCCACAGGTCGGCACCAGAGGGCGCTGCCAGGGGGGTGGGGAAGGAGATCCATGGGGAATCCAGTCCCGGCCGATCAGTGCTTGCCCCATGCAGGGGAAGTTACCGCAAAGAATCGGGAATCGAACATAGTCTGGGATTAGGGGCAGTTGGGTGCGCCTGCCCACCCTGCTGGAGTTGAAGGGTGCGTGTCGGGCAGGGGAGGCCCAGCCAGGCACGGCTGGGGGTGTCACGGGCACCGGGCTGAAGTTGCCTCAGATGAGGCGGGTGCGGAATGACCAAGGAGGCCCGACCGGCATGGCAGAGGCAGTGAAGCATCTCACTTGGGGCTTCCATGGGGGCGGTGGGCCGAGGGGCAGCCGACAAACCCTTGGGCTTAGCGGTGACGAGCGGGGGTTGCCCCAGGGGCACGACTGAGTGGGCGCTGGAGCTGGGCAGCTGCGGCAGGCCCAGCCGGTGTTGGCAATGGAGCATCTCCACATGGGGATCCAGGAGGGCGGGAGGGGTGCTCAGTTTCGGGCCTTGCTCCAGGCCGGGGGCCACCCCTTGGAGGTGCCCTGAGGGGCCGGCCACGTGTTGGCCAGGGGGAGGCGGGTCCACAGGAAGATTCTGCCCATGAGGGGCCCCATGTTGGGCAGACGGGGCCGGGCGGTGGACGCTGGGGGAAGGATCTCCGGGAAGATCCGGACGAAGGGCCGGCGTGGCTCGCTGCGCCACCAAAGCGGGGTCCCCCGGGAGGGCTTGCTGTAGCGTCGGCGCAGCCAGGAGGGTGCTAGTCAGTGGATCAACCCCCAGCACCTGCCGATGGGTACGCTGGTGCGCCCGCAGCGCTGACTCCCCCTTGAAGCGCTTGGGGCAGCAGGAGCAGGCGTGGGGCCGCTGCTGCGAGTGCGTGCGCTGGTGGGCCGCCAGGTTGCCCTTCTGGCTGAAGCGCCGCCCACAGGTGGCACAGGGGAAGGGCCGCTCCCCCGAGTGGATGCGCCGGTGGGTGATGAGGTTGGCCCGCTGGTTGAAGCACTTCCCGCACTCGGTGCAGGAGAAGGGCTTCTCGCCGGTGTGGATGCGCTGGTGAGTGATGAGGTTGGGCCGCTGGCTGAAGCTCTTCCCACAGACACTGCAGGGAAAGGGCTTCTCCGTCGAGCGGCTGCCCCGTGGCAACAGCACCTTGGGCTCAGGGGCAATCAGCCCCTCCTGCACGGCGTGGGTGCGCTGGTGTGCCGCCAGGTTGGCCTTCTGGCTGAAGCGCTTGCCGCAGCGCAGGCAGGGAAAGGGCCGCTCGCCGGTGTGGACCCGCTGGTGGGTCAGCAGGTTGGGGCGTTGGCGGAAGCGCTTGCCGCACTCCAGGCATGGGTAGGGCTTCTCGCCGGTGTGGATGCGCCCGTGGGTGATCAGCCCTTGCTTCTGCCGGAAGCACTTGCCGCACACCACGCACGTGAAGGGGCCCGAGCCCAGGCCTTGGGAGGGGCGTCCTGGGCCACTCAGGCTGGGCTTGCAGGAGGCCGCTTCCTCCTTCTTGACCTGGGGCTGGGGTCTCAGCTGCCCAGGGTTGGGGGCCAGGAAGAGACCCGCCCGAGAACTTTCGGGGAAGAGCTGGTAGCGTTCCAAGCTGGCCACGAAACTGGCCCTCTTCTGGCCGCCCTCTTCTTCCTTGATGGCTTTGCTACGTCCGGCAGCTGTTCCAGAGAGGACAAAAAAAGGGAGGGGGACGGGACACAACAGAAATTAAATAATGCAGGGGTCGCCGACTCCCGACACACTACCGGGCCACGGCCTATTGACAATCGGGACACGAGTGCATATACGGGCACAGAGCTCACACGTGCATCTTCCCTCGTGTGAGCGATGGGCTCGTGTGCGCTGGCATGCCTGTCACTCAGACAGAATATCCTCCCCCCCCCCCCCCGCACTGGGCCGTCAAGCCAAAAATTGTGTTTGACATTCTGTTTTTATTTTCTGCGACTTCGACTTTCCCGTCCACTCGTTTCCACCTCGGGAGACACAATGCTCCTCTCTGTTTCTCGGCCGAGGAAGCCAACGTCGTCCAAAGACGCTCCCGTTGGGTCCCATGGCTGGTATGGCTATATGCCAAAGGCGCATGGAATGCTGTTACCTTCCCATCGAACTGGTACCTATTAATCTGCTTGCGCTTTCATGCTTTCGAACTGCTAAGTGGGATCTGGAGCGGGTAACAGAAACTTGCCCCATCAGAGCAGCTCAGGTCTCAAATGTCCCGTTTTAGCTCAGCGTCTCTAAACGCTCGGCCATCATCCCTGAATCCATCTTTCTCTGGATATGATCCCGTAGTATTGTCTTAGTACAGGTCAAGTCCTCGACTTTAGGGACCGTTCAAAGTTACAACAGCAACGGACAAAATGACTTATGACCGTTTTTTCCACCCTTCCAAAGTAGACTGGGGCAAAATTGAACTTGTCTTCCTTTACACGTGAAATTTTTGGTTCAATTGCAGTTGTTACGTCGAGGATGCCCCTGTATTGTTATTTATCCTTTTTATTATCTTATTAGTTTCCCACTTATTATATTCTTTTCTCTGTTGCTTTGCATGCACATGGATTTGCCTGTGTACGGGAGACAAATTCCTGGATTTGCTCCACCCTAAAACCAGGCGCTCCCCAGCCTTCCATACCTTGGCAGGCACCAGTGCAGAGTTTGCCTTCCTCCAACTTCTGACGGTCGGTGACCCCGAGTTCCTCCCACCGTTCAATCCAAGACAGGCTCTCGGGTTTGAAGAAACGGTAACCTGCAGAGGAGGGGGGGGGGGGGGGAGGGAAAGAAATCACAAAGCAACAGGTGAGCCCATGAATTTTTCCTGGAATTTTCTGGAAGGAAGGGATGTGCTTTGAGGCAGCTCATCGCCAGGGTACCACCAAGCCCATAGGGAAGCCCTGATTTGGGCTGAGAGTGGGGGACTGGTCCAAAGTCCCTCAGCGGGTTTTTGTGCTGAAGGTGGAACTAGAACTCCCACTCCCCTGGTGATTGCCTCAAAGTCAACCAGTCACCTTTCCTAAGGCGGGACTAGAATTCCCCATCTCCTGGTGATTGGCCCAAAGTCAACCAGTCACTTTTCCTACCTAAGGCGGGACTAGAATTCCCACTCTCCTGGTGATTGGCCCAAAGTCTCCTGGTGATTGGCCCGAAGTCACCCAGCTGTCATGACTAAGGCAGGACTAGCAATCCCCATCTCCTGGTGATTGGATCCAAGTCAACCAGTTGTCTTTCCTGCCTAAGGTGGGACTAGAATTCTCCTGGTGATTGGCCCAAAGTCACCCAGCTGTCTTTCATGACTAAGGCAGGACTAGAACTCCCAGTTGTCCTAGTTTCTAAGCCAGCACCTTCACCCCTACACCAAGCTAGCACAACAATCAAGCTAGTCTTGAATTCAACTCAATCGAAAGACGGGCACTGGCTTTTGGTAGCCGAATTATAGTATTTATAGTACTTCGAATTCTAATTGTACCCAGTTTCCCAAAATATAAGGCCCAACTGGAAAATTAGCCCTAGCATGAATTTTTGGGGATGCTTGTAATATAAGCCCTACCCCAAAAATAAGCCCCAGTTAAGATTGTCAGCCCCACTGATGCATTTTGAATCTTATTTTCCCGAAATTAAGACCTAACCAGAAAATAAGAACTAATGGGTCTTTTGGAATAAAAATTAATAAGACCTGGTCTTATTTTCGGGGGAAACATGGTAGGATTTCCCCTCCCAGTGAACTGAGATGAGATGAGGAAATACTCTCCCAAAGTGGCCACAAAGGTTCTTCTTGGCCAAGGAAGGCTATCCCACTCCAACTGCCAAAATGTTGTGTCACTTGACACTCCCGAAGGGCCACAGTGTGTCACACGCCAGCAACCCGGCTCAACGCGCAGTCAGGAAACAAAACCTTGAGGAAATGAAACATAATTGCGCTCTCCAAACCCTGGCCAGCACGGATGTGTCTCTCTGTGTGTGTATGTGTGTGTGTATGCACGGGATCAGCCCTGCGGATGTTACCTGGACATGGATTGGTGGGAATCCCGCGAGTGGAATCCAGCTGGTCGCCCACGCACGGCTCTCCAACCCGCTCGATCCGAGACAGAAGATCTGGTTTGAGAACAGGATAGCCTGGAAAAGATTTGACATGACAGGTCACAGCCGGGGCAAGACAAACCAGCCACTGGTGGGTTTCCATATTTTTTCCTACTGGTACATCCGAACCGGTCTGAACCGGCTGAATCCCACCTCTGGAACCAGCCCCTTCTCTCTGGCAGCTGGTCAAAGGGAGACCCCTCTTCCCTGGGTCTCAAGAGGGAGGGGGTCGTTATCCAGCTGCCCCACCCAAGGAGGATGATTGTGGGGTCGTTGTTGCTCTCTGAGCCTGGTGGTTTTCTTGCCAGACCTTTCATGACCAAACTAGGTAACATCATCAATGCATGAAAGGAGGAGGAGGACGACGATGACTCTGGGATCCTTGGTGCTCTCTGAACTTGTTTTTTTGTTCAGATGTTTGATTACCAAACTAGGTAACAGCATCAGGACAAGAAAGAAGTGGGGTTTGTGGAGGGAGGGAGGAAGAGGAGGATGAGGAAGAGGGGAGGAAGAGGACAGAGTATGGGACCCGTGGTGCTCTCTGAGCTGGGTGGTTTCCTGGCAGATGTTTCATTACCAAACTAGGTAACATCATCAGTGCATGAGAGGAAGGAGAGGAAGAAGAAGAGGAGGAAGACTGTGGGGTTCTTGGTGCTCTCTGAGCTTGGAGGTTTCCTGGCAGATGTTTCATTACCAAACTGCATTAACTTCATCAGTACAGAAGGGAGTGGGGTTTGTGGAGGAAGAGAAGGAAGGATGGTGGGTTCCTTGGTGCTATCAGAGCTTGGTTTTCTTGCAAACGTGTTATTACCAAACTAGATAACAGCTTCAGGGCAAGAAAGGAATGTGGTTTGCGGAGAGGAGGAGGAGGAGGAGGAGGAGGAGGAGGAGGAGGAGGAGGAGGAGGAGGAGGGACCATTGCGTCCCTGGTACTCTGAGTTTTGAGGCTTCCTTGAAGACGTTTCAGGACACAACTAGAGAACATCATCAGTGTTAGAAAGGAGAGGGGCTTGCAAGGAGGAGGAGGAGGAAGTTGAGGAGGGGGAGGTGGGAGGAGGAGGAGAAGGACGACTGTTGGATCCCTGGTGCTCTCTGAGCTTTGTGGCTTCCTTGAAGATATTTCATGAGCCAACTAGGGAACTTTATCATCAGGTGGGGTGTTCTTCTTACGTTCCTTCCCAGCAGCCTCTTGTCCCTACAGCCCCCTCCCCAGGAAACCCCTCATCCAGACACACACACACACACAGTCCCAGCACGGCTCTTACCAAGGGAGGTCACCAGCTCGTAGTTCTCCATCACAACATCCAGAGATGATGGAAGTTTTCTGAGTTCCTTGGGGAGGAAGGAGGACGACGACGACCAGCTCAAGCG